TCTTTAAAATATTGTTGGTGTTAACAATGAAACATTTAATGAATAGCTATATTAATATAATTAACGAAATGCGTCTTTTACAATCATTTTGAAATGATTCATTAAGAAGAAGACCACTTAATTGTAAGACATGGTCCATGGGTGATTCAGTATTATAACTTAGAAAGCATTTCAACTTATAAGAATTTTAATAAGACACCGCATACATTTTCATATATTTCACATATTTGCATAGGTACACACTTGTGAGTACCTGATCGATTTTTAAATATTCTTATATATGTTATGTATTTTAAATTAAAATCGGATAATAATAAATATCCAAAATAAACCAAAATGTAAAGAGTACATGGAAATATGACAAATAGATTCACAGAAATATAAGTATGTACGTATGTATGTGCTAACATGATTTACATAAACAGATTTATTCTACATATTTTTCATGTTCTAATATTCATATTCGATACATTTCGATTTTTCTTCGCTGTATTCCTCTCTATTTTCTTGAATGATGTATGGACGTTTCCTGGTTTGATATTTTCCGCTCGATTATCGATTACTACGCGATTCCCTCATATTTTTGGCCAATTTTATTTACGTCTGCGTATTCGTATTTAGCTTCAACGATCAGTTTCACAGATAAAAGTCGTTAATCAATTGTCACATGAGGACTTTGTGAAACATGATCCCATGTTTTCTATCTTCACCGTTAAGAATTAATAACAAAGCATGGAGGAAGTGATATGTTACATACAACTGTACATCTACACGTGTATAAACATTCACAGTCTATTAATAAACGTCAGAATAGATGGCAAAATTTATCGTTAATAATTTGTGATGTTTGATGAACTTTTTTTTCCAAAAATACTCTTATCTAATTATCAAATTGCTTAGAAACTAAGATAACAATTAACAATAGAAAAAATGTTTTAATAAAGTTTAGCTGATTGTATGTATTATAACGAAAGTAAAGAACTTAAGAAATTGGAAGATTGATTAAAAAAATTCATGCAAAGATTGTACGGTGAATAAGTGGTACAGACTAATAAAGGTCTAACTACTATTTCTAACGATTGAGTCTTGAAAAAACGACTTTTCTGCAATGTTTTTGAATTTACTGAATACTAATAGATATTACAATTACTAATATTAATAATTAATAATAATAATAATAATAATAATCAATGTTATTAATAACATTGTAATAGTAATATTTAATCAATGTATGACAATTTCAAATACTAATAGATATTATAATCAGTAACATTAGTAATTAATAATAATGAATATTATTAACAACATTCTAACATTAGCATTCAATTAATCTAAAGACATTTCACAAAATCCTTACCCTTTGGATCACAGGGTGAACATCGAAATAAGAAACCAGTCCGCATTCGTCATATCACACATTACATTTGTCATTTTTTATTCTTGACTTGCAAAAGAAAGATCTAATAATTCCTTTCTATTTGTTGATATTAACACAAAATTAAATATTCATTAATATAAAATTCACATATTAAGGAAAATGAAGTTCTCATATCTTATTTCTTACTTGCAAAAAAGGATCTAAACACTCTTTTCTAGATATTATTATCAGCACAAAATTAGATATTCATTGACATAAAATTAAAATATTTTAAAAAATGAAATTAATGCTATAGATACTGTCATTTAAAGTTACAAGATAGAGAATTATATTTAGGAACTCAATAACTTGTTTTAGTCGCATTTGTCCAACGTTTTATTTTAAAAATTTATTAAATCGAATCAAATATTCGAGCAGTGAACGCATTACGTTCAAGTATTTTTATTCTTTTATTTTCAACGGAAAAACGATCGTATAAACATGAAAACCCGGTCTGCCAATATTTTCGTTCCCCGTTACTCCTTGTACATAGACAATTTGACTGATCGTTTCTTATTTGGCGAGCCAATGTAAGGTGGGGCGAAAATGCACAAATTCGTGTGTATACGTAAACGTCGCGGCCAACGATGATTCACAAGATAGATCGGATGTTACGTGGTGATGAAGAACAAACAAGTTGAGAAGTGGGTTACGAATCGTCGTTCTGATGATGTTTCAGGATCGTTCGCGAATGTTTGGTTATTCGATATACAAATCTGAGCCGGTCATTGGTTGTTTCGCCTCGTTATTCCGAAATTCGTGCCAAGAAATAAGTCGGGCGTATAGAGGACGGAGCTAAAGAATATTTCGAATATCGGTGAAACAGTGGAAAAAATTCGATACATATTTGTATTTAACTAGTTAACTGCGTCCGACGAGTATGCACGTCATCTTAAAACCCAAAATGGTACTAAATCTGATTTTTTCAGAGTAACATGTAATTCTTCTCCCTTATGTTTTACCTTTTCGTTAGAACACGTAGGTGCATTTGGCCTGCGTTAAACGAGTATACACTTCAATTATTTCATGTTATTGTTCGCACAATGAGGGATTTTTCGAATTAAATTCTACAGTTAACTGGTTAACACTAGAATTGCCGTACCAGTCAAAATGACTGATTTCGGTTTTCTTGTTTAGCAATTATTGACGTTCTAATGATGTTGAAAATAAATAGTTTCACTTGAATACTATAATGAATGTCTGAAAAAATTGAAAATAATCTATTATTACCATTTTTATAGGGATTATATATTAATCATAGTAAATGCTCGATAGTTTTAGTATTAAATACGATAGAAACAAGATAGAGTACGATAATGTATAGTGGAAATGAAAATGTATGATGCAAAATATGTATTCTTTTATGTGACGTTCCGTTTTTACGTAAAGCTTTGTCGCGTATGGTTTGGTCGACGCGTCTGTGCATTACTTCCTGTTTCTACTTGCAGCGAGTAGTAACGACTATGCTCCAAACGTTCATGAAACTTCAGATTTTAAGTTTAAGTTTCTTGCATTAAAGTTTATTTCTTGATTTATCAAATTTCTTAAGTTAAAAACAGTACCATAATTCTATGGATTTTGTTTAAATTTCTTCGCTACGATTTGTTTTACATTCATGTACTTTATTCTCTCGTTAGTTATTGTTAATTATTTTTATTTGCCAAAAAGATCTTTATATTCATTTATAATTTTCATTTCAAATATTACAATTTGTATGTTCTACTCAAAATGATTATATTCAGCAGACCACAAATATATTGAAATATTATATTTCATTTTTATACATAGGAGATTTATTTATATGAAATTATAATCAAACTCCTTAGTTTTATTATGATCTTTCTTGATAATTTAAGTGAGAAGTTCATTTAATTTATTGTCACAATTAAATTATTATAATTATTGATTACAATCGAAATATTCTGATGGGATAACTTCTATTCAGAAATATTTTCCAAAATCAATTGAAGTATTGTAATCACATGTCAATCATATTATTTACGAAAGTTATTTACAAATTCAATCAACTACTTCTAAAAATCAATTATTTCTGTTAATTTACGTTTTTATGCGTTATAATTACACCTATTTCCATCAATCTTGATACAATTACCACCAGCAGATCATACTATCATACATATTATTATTGTATATTATTATTATCATATAATTATAGTATTTATATAGATGTAACAATGAATTAGGTGTTTCCTCGTAATAGAACGACCTCCGATGAGTTATATTTACGTTAAGGTTTATTTAACTAACGACGATAGAATGGCCAGCAGTGAGTCATACTGTCAGATAAACCTGTCGCTTAAATACATTATTGTTTGCATGCAATACAACTTATATAACATTGAAAATCGCTTTCGTTTCTTCGTTTCGCTCTTTTCAGTATTGTGAACTGCGTGCACCTTCAACAAACTCTGACTGTTTCGCTTTCTGTATCGTGTGATTGCTTAATATTTACTTAATGAAATCGCATCAATAAAACACGACGTTTATTTATTTTGAATTAAGGTAAAACAGATCATTATACACCCACGAAATTTGTTTTCATTACCTTTATACACAATAAAAAGATTCCAAAAATATGAATTATTTTTAGATTAAAATACCCTACGATTGGTGGATTAAAATATTATACTATTACAATTGAATTTATCTTTTTCATTCTCTTTTTTGAAAAGAGGGAAAAAGTATTGTATGTAACTTTCAAAAATACAAGTGATATTAGAATTTGAAAATGAAATGATCCTTACAAGAGATTCTTTCCTATGATTTTCTTTGAGCTTCATTATTTTTACTATTTTCTCTATGAATTCATTCGTAAGTACCGAAGACATTTACATGATCTTATTTACGTAAATTACACCCCTATTCTACTTTTGATCCGGCCCCGAATTGGTTGGAACATGCAGTTACCTGCAATTATGTTTTGGCAATGATTCGAAAGTCCGAGGCGAAAGATGTGTCGCATTCTCGGAATTAACGATCACAGCCGTTGAATTAATGTTCGATTAGCCACTAGAATGATTCGCATGAGATAATGTTTCGTTGCCAAAGGTAATTATACAAACACCTTATTTGTTTCCACTTGGTTGACCCAATTTTTCGAAGGATACCGTGATATCCAAGTTTATGACAGTTTCAGGACGAGCATTCATTTAACGCTGTCAAAATGATATCTACTTTTATTTAATTAATCGTCCGCCTTATCATCAGTCGCATCGATGCTGATTTGTGACGCAGCCAAGGCAGCGCGATGCAATATTTTAAGAAACTATATTTTAAGAAATATTACAGAATAAAAGTAACAAGTTTTCGAACAGAAATACATTCGATTATGTTCGATTAGCTTTAAAAATTATATAACATTAGGAATCGTATGATATCCTAGACTTCTAATGACGAAAAATTGCGAAGGTTTCGTTATAGTTATGTATTGCAGTTTAAGTGGCTGCCAGGTTTGAAATTATTAACGGAAACTTCGTATGTCAAGTGACACTGAACACGTAAGAATGGGTAAATTTGAATATATTACAATTGTTTTAACTGCTCGTTTTCTGTTATTTTCTAGTATCTGAGAACAGACTCGACAGAATCGCAAAAATGTCCACGCAGAGGACAATGTTAGTGAACAAACAGTTCAACTCCCCGATCAATCTCTATTCGCCACAAGCGATACAGGAAACGTTGGACAGGCAGACTCAAGTTTTGGCTAACGGTGCAGTCGGGTAAGCAAATCTACGGAAATATTAAATGTTGTATTGTGCGTGTTATTTATAAACAATACGGATCTTGAAATGTGGTTCTATAGCCAAATGTATATTTCTTTTTTCTTACACTTTATACTTCTTTAAAACTCATTTAAATATACGTTTTCATGATAATTTACGTTTGTATGTAATTTATCATGTATCATGTAAAGAAATATATTTATAACCACGTGTTTGTACCACAAATATTTTTATAATATTCTTATCGTTTTTATAAAGTAATATTCTTACTGAATCATTTCAACAATATTTAAGCAATTAGAAGTAAACAATTTAATATATAAATATGTATTTTATTGTATACAGGTATTAAAGTAAAAACAACGGATAAAGAGAATTTACTGTAACTAAACGTATACACTGACCAAACTGTTTTTTATTATATTAAAGTTATTGTTTATTATATTCTATTATGTTAAAGAATTTCAATTTGTGAGTCCCTCTCAATGTCATTATTTCAATTAAATTACCTAATAACAAATTATTTTAAAAATTGTATTAATTATATTTTACATTGTAAATCATTGTAAAATAATTATTTATTTCAATTAATTCCTCTAAACTAAACAGAAATGTTTCAGTGTAAAAATTTTAATTTAAAAATCAATGTCACGCTATTCAATTGCAAATTAGGACACGTACGTAATGCGTTCTTCTTTCCATTAGTATATACTTATACATATATAATTTGTTTTGTACGTAGTTACACTGTTTAAATACGTAGAGAGAGAGCAATATACAAAATTCATCATTTTATTTCTTCAACCTAGCACCCTTTCATCACCCTGCATGAAATTGTAGCAACATCGTAAGAAATGAAAGGAAAAATACTCTTCTTGAATATACTCAACGTGATGGATTTCAACGGCGTAATTTGAAAAAAAAATGATAAGACAGTGCTTGGCCGAAGACAGAAAATGATAAACATTGACCTTCTAAATGAAGAATTATTCCGTCGGACTTTGTTCTTTTTAATAGTAGACTTTGCGTTGCACTTATTACATCGCTGAATAATTAGTGACAATTTCAGCTTAGTACACCTTTTTCAAAAAATCGCCGAAATATGATAGTTGTAAACCATGGTATCTTTCAGGTACCTCAGAGTATTTACTTAAACTTGAGATGTTACAATTGTGTCTGAAATTAATTTACATCTTCTTCTTCCGATTCGAAGACTTTCGTAACCGTATACTAAATAGTTGATCGTAATTTTGCTATTGTAGATTTACAATATGGAGAATTTGTTTTTCTTTTTAGTACGTCTTTTATTTTGTCGAAGTTGTGGACCTCCACGAAAAACTAAATTGTATATTAAGACACCAGAATTACGCGAACTAACAGAAAAATTAAATTATTCGCTTCTATTTCTAAATTCTAGGTACAAAAACCTGACGAAAGCATCTAGTTTTAATTCTGGTTGTAATCGTTTTTTCTCCTTTTTCTGTTGCAATTTGGAAAGAGCCGATAAAAATTTTATTTTATATTATGAATTTTAGTTGTATAGATTCACAGTCTTCCATTTTGTGTAACACTAACTTAGATTTAAAGATGGATGAAGAGTCTGGAAAGCACAATTTAATAGTTATATAGTGAGTTATAATTTTGCAGAAACCTTCGCAGTATTTTCAGCAATGATCCACTTTTCAATTAAATTAAAAATATCTTTAACTGATTGAAACAACTACATAAAAGAAATTCAACTAACTAAGCAACCAATTGGAAGAGTACCTTTCAAAATCAAAATGGTTCAAACTCAAAGCAGTCTTAAACAACGAGTATTAAAAAGTAAGAAAGTTTTTGAAAAACCTCAAATGAAAAATTCAAAACTAGCGACACCTGTGTGTAAAACATCAAAAGCATATTTTTCAAACTACATCAAAAAGTAGATATCTGTTTGAATAACATGTTTCTACCATTACCACGAAAAGGTAATTTTGTAATTTATTAGATAATTTCAATTTTACAACCGATCGGCTCAGCTTCATTCAACCGGGACGTGAGAACCGGCAAGTGTCCACAGCCGCCATTTTGTCACTTCAAAGAATCCATTGGAATAACTAACCCTTTATCCTACAATATTGTCTGAGACTCATGGCGAGGATTCCAAACAGAATCGAGAAAATATAAATATCACTTAATTCATTTGAATTAAAATGAAATATTATTCTTCCATTACTGACCGTGTTGCTCTAGAGTAAATGTGGAAATAGAAAGAGCGTGAAATGCTTTTCCACTTCTAGCGACTTAACGCGTTCGCGACCACGGTCGAATTTGAAATCCCTCGTTATGGACCATGTCTTTTTGCAATTGCTTCACGCGATATGTTGTTCATATATTTTTTATACATTTATGACATAGTAAATAAACCAAGCAATGCATTTTACATAAACATCATATACGTATTTTGGCTATATCAAAATATCAAAGTGGGTTTCTGCAAAAGATTCGAGAAACTATGAGAAAGGTCACAAACAAGTTTAAACTAATGGTTTTATCGTTTTTCAAGATATTCTCTTTTAACATTAATACATCTTCAATTGTGTTGTGTCAGTACTTGTGATCTTAAAACTGTAAATCTGTATGAAAATAACATAAATTCCCGTGTTGAAACCTTTACAGTAATCAAACTTCTACGGTAATCAACAATGTCACGCATGAGTAAACAGTACTGAATTCGAAAATGTTTTTGTAATTAAAGATATCTGCATTAATATATAAAATTTTCTTTTCCTCATTGTTAGTACTTGTAACGCTAGACTCTCACGAATCGTTATCATACCTACGTGACGCGTGGTTGCGAACATATTGCCACTAGAACTACCGAACAGTCAAATTAATTTCCTTTTACTATTTTGAAGATATTATAAGAGTGTATTTATTAAGATTTTCATTGGCTCATATTTCAGTTCGTACATTACCAAATCAGGTTATTTACTCATTTCTCAATTATTCAAAAGGAGAAATCGGGAATAGGTAATTTTGACCTGTCTGATGGTTTTAGCGTTAAAACCAGTAAAATAGTTCTAACGAGCGCAGTCGTAAAAGAAATCGTAGGACAATAGCTTAACCACCTTGCGTCAATCCGTTCTCCACGCGTCGTTCGATCGTATTCGTATCGATCCCCGTTGGTCGGGCAGATGTTGACCGGTTGCAGGTTGATGAATCAGCGATCTAGCCGTCATTGGGCGAGTCGACTGTTATTTTCAGAGGGCCGAATCACACGGGTTAGAAATAAACCCCGCTCAGACTCTGGCCGTTGCGCAAAGCCCGCGAACGCTATCGTACTTGACTTAGTTTCGCGTTTGGTGGCCTCGGGGTTGCGTGGTTCAACGGTAGTTTTCTTGCGTGCCTGCAGGACTTCCTTTCTCTCGCGTTCTCTTCCGCTACTTGTCAAGATGCTCACCCAAAGCAGGTGATTTGAAAGCTAGAAATTCCGTTGGTTGTTTATTTCGCGGTTCACGTTTCTATTGCTCCATGAGCCGCTAGATCGTTGTAAACAAATAGACTCATCTCTCAACTCTTTGCACTAGACAGTTTTTTGCTGGATGTATTCATCATTTGCTACTGGAACATTCATTCAATTTTTAAATTATTTAATAAAAATAATAGGGGAATCAAGAGTAGTATTATCTTATTTCAATATTTCATGTTTAATTAGCTATATTACATTAAATTTGATATCGTATGTTATCATTTTGCTATGTCAAATCGTAAGAAGACTACAAAGTGCAAAGGGTTGAACGTTACAGACAAAATAAGGTCCTAATAAGTTCAAATAAATACTAATCCGTCATTTCAATAGATTTTTCAAGCACAAGTGTAATTGTACTTGATCTCGTTTGCTAAAGATAATTTTCATCAGAGAATTTACGAACTTCGATCAGGATTTTGAACAGGAAATTTCAGAAATTAAATGGACTCGATTCTCCCTCTAGTAGCCCGTAGTTCCGTAGTCCCCTTTAACGTGTTTTAAACAAACTTTTTAATAAATATTATTGCTAACACAACTAGTGCTTCGTGAGTGGTGCCGAGAATGTTGAGTAGTTTAATCTCCTTGGATATTTTAAATTAAGAGATTATAATTAAATGAACTTATTAATTTGTCGTGAAATTCTAATCGAATTTGATGTTACCTTGCGAAATTTATAGTGATATTAATCGATTTTTCTTAAATCAAGTGATGATTCAGTGAGAATATCAAAAACTGGTTTTTCTTTAAATAAAATGAAAATTTGATCGTAGAAAATACAAAAGAACTACGGAAAATGATGAGAGGATTTAATAAAAGTGAAATTATGTTCTTTTGGCTTGATTCTGTGTAAATTACATATAATGTATAGCTAAGATTCAACAGATCTATAATTTATAATAGTAAAAGCTTGAATAGAGAATTTTTTTATATAGATCAATTCCAAAATGTACGAAAAAATATTTACATGAATTCTATACTTTCAAAATGACAAAAATTTCAAACAGACACTCATTTCGAAACAATTTCATTAATCACAACTAAAATCATTTAAATATTACATAAATGTTACATTAGGCATTATTAATGAAAATATGAAATGCTGTTTATTAAATATTTTAGTTACTCACTATAAATATTGAGCTAAATGGAAAGTTATGTCAACAAACTTAGAGGAACAGTATTCATTAAAAAACTAATTTATTCTTCAATCTAAGATATAATGTGATATCTTATTCAATGTGTTTATATTAATATGAAAAAAGTTCATTTGGAAAGGGATGAAGTTCTTAAAAATATTTCACAAATTCGCAAGAATTTTGCTGACAAAACTTCCCACTCAACTTAATATATAAAATACTTTATTTAAACTATTTTATAAACTGAAAACAGAAACAGAACATTATAAAACAAAATTGAATTTCATTAACTATTGGTAAAAGCCATGTACACGTACTTTGAATTACTGTTCGGCATTGTCTTTGCGTAGCACTAAACTTTCATTAGAAAGCTATACAATATTTTACATTTTATTTATGTGGAAACGTGACTGACGCTTTAATGGCTTTTCTAGGATCGACTTCAATCAGTTAGCCAAGCCGGCGAACCTACAAAACAGCGCGGTTTTGCGGATGCTCGAAGAGGAAGAGGCCAGGCAACGAAACGGCCAACCAAGTGAGTACTAAACGACAAGGGCAGTCGTTTTATTGTCTCTTTAAGAAGTCGTTTCTTGCTACCAGTTCACTATGCTTGCTGTACAACTTGTCATGTAGGACAATAAGTCGGTGAATGATGGCGTAAAAACCTTAGGAGAAGGATTTAAGAGACTCATATCGTTTTTCAAAGTTATTTGATAAATATACAGGGTGGATATAATACATTGATTTATATTCATTTATAATTTACACACTTAAATTCTCAATTGATAAACAGTATAATTTACGAGATCTTAACATGAAATAAAGACTAATGTACATTATCTACTGTATTAACTAAAAGAGTTCTTATTATGAATAGAGTAATCATGAAATGTTATACAAATAGTTTTTAACCACGACTTTGTTAAGTATCATACGTCAGATACTCCATTTTTTAAATGGAAATATATGTGTAACATCTCTAATGATTCTGGTGTTTCTATTTTGAAAATAACTCACAGAAATTAAATTGGTTTTGTGTAAAGACAAGAAAAATTATTTTGAAATAATTTTATTCGGTTTAAGTTCACCGTTTGAAGTGAGTAATGGACAGTGAAAAGTTCTGACCGCGAAATTCAATGTCATACTATTAAATTGCAAATTTTTACGTACTTACCATACATATCTCTATTCAGTTTTATCATTACATACTTCATTTGTACGAGAACATTTTTTTCGCAGTTAAGGTAGAGGTATAAAATATTCGGCAAATTATTTGTGAAATTATCACAAGAAACTTTATAAAGTGATTTAATTAAAATGTAAAATATAGTTTTACTAGAACGTTTTACTAAAAATGATAAATTTATTAGACAGTAAACAATTAATTTTTCTAAACCCTTAATATATTATTTGTTACTTAAGTAATTATGTTAAAATATACTTCTGCAAACGAATAATCTATTTTTCAACAAATAACTTTGTTATTATTCAAGGAGCACAAGATCTCGTACAAAACAGATGTTAAAAAATACATAATTTAATAATCAACTATATACTTGCACACTTAATTTGATCAAATATTACACATACTTAGAAAATTAAGAACAATATTCAAAATGCATTCGTTATTATAATTAATATTTATAATTTAAGTTTCTCATTCATCGTTATGACTTATGAAAAACTATCTTTTAAATTTTCTTTCGGAAAAACTGTACAAGAAAAGAAGAAATTAAACGATTAAATTTTTACGACATGAGTCAGTAAGATCATTGTAACAATTCTGAATTTAGCTCGGAAACATTATCACCCGTGTTTCAAACGTTTGGCTTCGAGTCAAAATGAGAATGTCCTGTAACAGACACTTCTCAGATAGTAAGAACAATGTTGAAGTAAAGCACAAATCCATAAAATTTGATATAACAACCTTTATAATTTCTAATATTACAGTCTGCAATTTAAGTATACTGTAACCAATTCAATGAAGCTTATTGTCTTTTCGACAAGCTAATAAATTATAATAATTCCTTAATGTATAGATATATATTAATTCTAACACGAACAGTTACATGTTAATTAATACATGGACCGACTGATTATTTTATTAGCAAGAAACGACTTGGGAATGTTACATAGTTAACAAGCGGAGACGTGGATTGCGCAAATGGAGACTAATCCGAGGGTTACAGCTGCGAAGACTAACAAGAGGCAAATCTTAAGCTGCAAACTACTAGTCTAAAGCGAGGGAGACTAACACCGCTTTCAGAAAAGCTGGCTTGCAATCTCGACGAAGAGGTGAACACTAACAATTGAAGTCGTGAATTCCAGAAGAGCACAAGTTCAACTTTTTAAAGTTATCTACACGAGTTACTACCTATTTGATAATATTAAAATAATACACATAATGAAAATGTATGAATGAATGAAGATGAAAAGAAAAATTGGTTTTCTCGAAATGTTCATTGACAGACTTGTGTCGTTTGGGAAGTCATGACTTCAATTTCATTTGCTCGAAACATGTGGTTACCTAACGTTAGAGTGACACTGAATTACTTCCATGAAGTACTGAACGTTTTCAGGTAGTTTGTCTTCAAAAGTATGCAAAGAGTAATTATTTTCAAAGGTCTGTTACTCTCCAGTTCTGTGGATTGTCAAGTCACTGTAGATTTTGATAAAGAAACTTTTGAATTGGTTTCATGACTTCTTTGTAAAATATGAATGTTTTTCTTGTGAAATACTCGGTCAAATTATTCTTATATTTATTCAAATTTTATTACTCCTGTCAGGAAATAATGTGTGCACTATTTTATAGTGGACAATAATTGTAGTAGACAATACAGTAAATAATAATTAACTTCTTGTTTATTTTGTAACATAAACGTTTAACTAACTTTCGATGACAAAGGAGATCTTGACAGAGTATTCGATGTTGATGCACATTTAAGCTTGTCTTTGTTGTTTTTTCATCGAATTGTAATTTCTAAACTGTATAATGACGATTTTCCTTTTTAGTACTCCATGTCGAATTTATTCTTTAATAGCAATATTTGAGACTCAGTTAATTTAAATTAGTGGAAAGTGGATGATTGAATTATATATTAGATATTAATTTATAAAATAATTTTATATTGTGTATTGTATGATTAGTAGATATACGGAGATATAAATGATGTATAAATTAACAATATTTTTTAGTCCTAATAGTCGTAAAGCTAAATTAATGAAGAACTTCGAACGCATACAATTTAAAACTATCATATGTAAGGAATCTCCATAAAATTTGTGATTTAAAAGAAAGGGTCATCAAAATTTCACAAGAAATACAGGAAATGCCAAAATTTGTATATTATATTAAATCTTAAAGAGTATACAAACAGTGTCATTCTAACGTTAAATAAATTCAGATTTAATAATTATTTAATGCCTACGGCTTGTCAATGTGCTTACCCATATTGCTTGATACATGTATTTACATCTACTTGTATTTAACCTGTCTAAAAATATGCCTTTATCGTGCGTAAAGCGTTTGCTTCAAATAATTATATTTAAACAATCAATTATTTAATATTTATTTATCAGATCGTATTAGTAGTATACAATATTGTGTACCGTAGGACACTAACGGCTAGGCTTTATACAAAACCAAATTCCCAAAATAATTAAACCTGTTACTCTGGAAATGAATTCAATGACTTGCCAAACTCTTGCCGAAAGAATTTTGTTTTCATCTATTTTACGCAAACATATGTACTAATTTTATACACGGTGATACAGTTCAAAACGATTTAGTATATGTAATGCAACAAGACTATCGATGTGTATAAGACGTCATTGACAATTTTGAAACAGAAACATCTCGACGTGGGTGGCACGTTTTTCCAGCGCAAGAGTTTAAAAAAACGAAGGTTCAGCAGAAACTGATCTCTTCTCTTAACACTAAACCTACCGTGGGTCAAATTTATCCACTTCAGAATTTTTATTTTGCAAATATTTGAATTATGAAGGCGTTTATGTGAATGATTTGAAATTAAATTTTATTGTATTAGTATTAGTATTGTTCTAATTTTTATAAAAAATTGAACATAAGTCATTTTAATTGCTTAGTAGTTTTAATGTTAAATATTTCAATAAGTTATCTAAAACAACAACATTCTTGAATTATTTCAAATATTCTTCTATTTTATATACCACGTACTAGTAATTGTTATAAATAGACAAAACCTTCGGTCTACCGATGACGAGTACACCGATCCTAAGCTGCAATCCTCATTTTCAAACGCTGTGCCCACGGAGAACGGGAAGCAAGTCAATAGGAAATTCGTTGCATTCTGTCATACTCAAAAATGTGATTACTTCAATCGTCTCCCTACCTGTCACTATCATTCCCCACCTTTTGGACAGTGACCAAGGAAGCTCTAAAATCGGTGGCCAGGTCGTTTCTGCGATAATGAAAAGTGCAAGTGACTCCGGGGTACCGTTAGTTGTTGGCCGGTGTCCGTTTTGGCAAAGTCGATCCTTCTCCTTCGTCCTCGTCGTGACTAAGTGTTGCCTTTTATAAGATCGTGTGAAACTACGGTACGTTTTGTTAAGCAATTAGCGCCGATCAGCAAAAAAATGCCTCGATAAACATTTGCCCGTGTGCACGCGTAACTAATAAAGAACTGCTCACGCGAACGGTGCAGTTCTTATGGATTTTAATAATACGAGTGAAACGATATAAAATAAGTGTGTATAACATTAATTAAATGTGGATGAAACTTACTCGCAACGTATGTAAAAACAACAATTTTTTTGTTCTGTATCGAACCGATAATATACCAAAAGTTTTTTGTATTCGCAATGCACAAATAAAAATGAGATTGCAAAATTTCAGGGTGGCTTTTATTATTCGAGGTCGCGACCAGTGGCTTCGACCCTCTTTCTCGTTGTTCATACAGAAATACAATTTTGTCAGTTCTTTGGAGAAAATTCAATGGATTTTGAAATTGCTATTTTGATATTGAACATTGAAATGTTAAAACAATTGAAATTACATATAATTTGCTGTAACGTTTGACGCTGAATTAAAACTATTAAACGCAGAACCTTAATAAGAATTAATTCTGTTAAAGAAATGGATCGTGTTGGAAAGGAGTATCATACAAAATGGTCAATTTCCCGCGGTGTTCTAACAGAAGTTTTGTTATCAAGCAACCTAACCTAAATTATGGAATTTGGGAGTTAACAATTTTTTCCCTTAATCTCATTGTTCTCTTGAATTTCATACCTAACGAAATTCTGTTACAATATATAAATTAAATAAAAGTAAATAAGAAATTAAAGGATGGAATGTTATGAAAGAACATTACGTCAACATGGTTTTCATAAATTGTTTGTATTTACTTCACGTGTATTAAGTCGGAAACAAGCTGTTCGTTACAACATTAATTTCATTCTAAAATTCTAAAATTCTAAAATTCTAAAATTCTAAAATTCTAAAATTCTAAAATTCTAAAATTCTAAAATTCTAAAATTCTAAAATTCTAAAATTCTAAAATTCTAAAATTCAATAAATATTTAGTGTCATAATACTGGGCTCCAAAAATATCCAAATATGGGCATACTCGACGAACTTGAGGTGTGCAGAAGGACCTTGGAAAACTATGTAGTGTGAAACATAGGCATTCGTAGGAGGTGTTCACTTGTCAGTTAGCCAATTATTTTGTGTTTATATTCATGATTCATCTGTTGCAGTATTCATAAATATTTTTAGGAAAGTCTTGACACACCGTTGGAAAGGCAGACGACTGATCTAATTGCTTTTCTCCTGCATATTTGCACACACATGCTAGAATACATACGGCTCTCAAGTTCGCTCGGCAGATCTATAATTTCTGTACTTTCATAGTAACAAATCTTTTACACTTCAAACAAATAATTTACAATTACTCTTAATATATTCTCTTCTTTAAATTCACTGTTGTGATTCTATATCCTTTCAATCTGGGACAAATTTCCAATTCATTAATATGAACAACAAAATTTAATTATCTACAGAATATTCTTCGATTCGAAGTTTATCAATGCGATAACAGTTTTATGTTTCTGTTTCTATTTTTTTAATGTACAAGAAGATTAAACTCGTAAATTAATGCGTTCATTTATACATTTTTTAATAAGAATGCTACAGTTCCAAAAATTATTTTATCCTCCATAAAATTTATGGTTATTGTTGAAAAAAGATTTAAACATTACATTTGAATTATATCAGCGGCACGCAGTGACTTATCGAACACCAGTGCGAATTGTTGAGCAAGTTTATATTGACACGCGCCTGTAACAAATACATTTCTATTTCGAAAACCATATTTTTGTATCCATGGTCTCTCGCGTTGATATCCAATATTCAAGGCTCGAAAAACCAAAGAATCTAAGAATACAGCGAGGTCGTGCCGAAATCAAGCGAATTCTTCGGCAATAAACGCGTAAATATAAACTTGGCTGGTGGCACGGCTGCGGTGTAACGGAGTGAATAATAATTCGTTTTATTGACGCAATAACTACATTTTTCCACGTTATATTTTTCCATTAAACACGTGGGAACGAAACTTGATCCGTGAAACTTGTAGCCAACTAAGCCGACGGGAAGATGTAACGCGAATAAACTGCAGACAGACGATTCGAACGGTTGTTTACCTTTTTTCTTATTTTACTATTAAAATGAATCGTAACATAAAATTGCCTTTTTAGAGTATAGATTTTAGAATTATTTAATCTCGCAATGAATTGAATGGATTTCATATAGGTTTCATTACTCCTTTGAAATGCTTTCTAATATTATTTGACGTACGGTGATAAAAGCTATCTTGATAAGAAGTTACAATCTTAAATATTGAAAGTTTGAAGTGCTTTGCATTCAGAAAATATAATTAAATAAAATATATAAAATTACCTAGCCTCTGACTTGATTACACGATTACTTATGAAAATATTTTTATATGGAAACATGAAAAAATGTATTATCCTATAGTAAAAAATAATGAATATTGACAATTAAGCTATATCAGATTTTTCTGTTATTTTTAAACATTTTATTTTCTGTCTAATGCATAATTTATATTGAAATACTTCATAATACTAATCAATATAAATTATTTCATCTGCTTTTATTATAATAATCAATTTATGACAGTTAAAAATAAAGGAATTGTTGTAAAAAAGACAATATGCATCTTTGAAATTAATTTGATACGAATATTCGAATTCCAAATACATTATTTATTTTAAATATAACATTCGAAATACATATCAGTGTCTAAAAATCAATGTGACGTCTGCATTTCGATCGAGTCATCGAGATATACATATATTCACTCTGCGTAATTTTTGTCAACTTCGCCATGGCTTGCTTAAAATAAAGAAAACAATGGACAGGCACGTCATGCCGACCGGCGGCTACAATTTATTTTCTAAAAATAAATCTCGTGAAACGCAACAAAATATGTAATTCTTTTTTGCTTTTTCAAACTTTAATATAAATTAGATTCGTTTAAATATCAACTGGAATGATTTTTTTCTACAGTAAATAACAAAAATATTTCGATGTCTAATAATTGTCTGATAATTATATATATATATATATATAGTGGAAAAAAGGAAGAAAATATGTAATGGTTCTGCAATTAGTTACAATTACATTGGCACTCTTTTTTATTTGCTTCTACATTAGTATCTCACAATTAATAGCCGAAATTTTATTTCATACAAATGTTAAACAAATAAATATACATAACTACAAAACTTGTTACCTGTTTATAAAAACATATTTCTTTTTGTTAGAAAGTTATCTGCATATATACGTGTATTCGTTCGAAAAGAACAACTGTTAATGAATGTAAAGACCATTATTCTATTATCTTAATTTGCCAACTTTACTTTTAACGTTTTTCAAATATCTTTGCTTGATTCTAGATAAATAAATTCTGTTTGTAATTAACACTAAAAATTCCTGGTATAACTTATTTTTAAATTAATATTCATTCTATGCGTTGAAAACTATAATTTACGAATTATTTTAATTGTTTACAGCTCTTAAACGCGTAGCTTGGCCACCGCCTCCAGAAGAACAAGACTACGATTTTGTAGAACAGGGACCTGTACAAGCAAAGGTAAATCCTTTAAATTTTTCAGTAAGAATCAATTAGATACATATCACATGTTTAAACAATTCATCTAGAACGATTAGTAATAGATAGTATGCCTCTTTATACAACAGAATTATATAATGAAGAAATAGTCAACTTTTTTAAATTTCTGTTTCAAAAATTCATGCGTCTAAATTTGAAAAATATTTGTTCTTGTGAAAGACGTATTTCAATTTTTTTATGATCAAAGTTTTATTAGTATAATTATTTTTGAATTTTTATTAAAATAATTGAAAATAGCAAGTTTAAATAGTGACCATTCACTCAACAGTATTCGTTAATTGCCATATCACAGAAATGTATGTATTAAGAACCTTCTCTGAATCGTAAGATATTTTTTACAATAATACTTGAAAACAGTGAAGAAATTGTTTAAGAAAAATTTATGAACTAAATGTTTCTAAATTTTACGAAAATTTTTATTTGCTATTCATAAAATAAGGTAGTCCGAAGATCACACTTAAATCATCGGTATATGCATATTATACTAAGATGACTGTACATAAATATACTTCACGTGCAACGTATTTGAAAAATTTGATTTTTCTTAATCATTTGTTTACGTTTTAATGTTCAGAATTGACCCAACAATCGTTCATTTTTCTATGAATGTGATTTTAATAGTATTTTATATTTGTCACGTCCTTGTTTGCCCATGTATTTATTGTTATATAAGTTTATTAGTGACAACAACTCCGTTTGGTTCTTTTATTCCTTTTCGTGTTGTGAATGAATGTCCCTCTCTTCACGTGCTTGCTGTTACGCCGTAATTATCTCATGCACGTCATTCGTATTTCCCTGACTCGTGTAACAGAGTTGGTTCACGACCTTACATCGAATATGTTCTATTGAAGAAATGAATGAAACTTACAGAAATTTTAATAATTACATTTCTTAGAATTATAAATGAAATTGATATTAGTTATGTAAGTACGATCTAACAAAATTATTATTTAATAAGAACAATGAAAAATCGTGTATGCACTTACGTAATTATAATATATATACATATACAATTTGCACTTAAGTTTTTAAATTATTTAACTTCAACGAGAATCCGTAAATCTTGTCCAATAATAATATTTCATGACTTTATGAGATCAAATATCAATATTCTATCAATCTAACACATTTGAACTGTATCAACAAAATTAAAGGTGTTCTACATAAATTGCAACTAAAGCTATAAAGTTTCTCTAACTCAGACAGTAATTTCTTTAGCTATAATCTTCATTGGGAAATATACTTTGACCAAAAATGCTTAAAAGTTTCGAATTATCACTATGCTATTTCATTCATAGTTCCTTCGTTCATTTTGTAGATTAAAGTTTGTCCAACTCTGTTGCGTAGGTAAAATAATAGACAAAAGTATTGGCACAGTACAATTGTTACAATATAAATACCCATATCCACAAAGAAATTCAATTAAACGTTAATTTTTCAAAATACTTATGGTCCACAAATTGTATTTTATTATCTAACTGAAATTAAATAAAATACAGTAAGTAATGGAAAAAACATATTCCTTAAGAAATTTGTGAAACGAAAAATTGAACATATCCTCTATTTTAGAATAATAACTAGGAATTTCTCGAAGAAAATAGAACTTTTTTTTACATATTCCTAATATTCAAGTTTCTTATTGTAATCTAAAATAATATATAAAACAAGTATTATCAACAAATGCACCATTTACCTTGCTTGTTTTAGTAGCCACGAACATTTGTATTCTGACAACTGTACCGAAACCATACTTTTCTCTAGCTCTGTACATACAATTCTTAACGCTTGACGACGCTTAACGGTTGACTACACCACTGTGACTACCGAGGCGGATATACCGAGTCTAATTCCCTCGAAAGAGACGTTCAAATTCGTGTCAGAGAATAATGAAACTCGATTAAATTTCCAAACATATCAAGCTGATCATTCGACACGGCATTTCCTATACAAAAGCCTCTGTTTGCCCATGAAAAGACCCGTGGAATCGGTGATTTCGCCTCGTACCAGAGCAGTCCCTCGTCAGGTTCGTCACCTCAACCACCGTCGACGATCGCTCGTTCGTCGACACAGAGTGCCGTCCCATCATCCCCGTCGCCGGTTAGTCCTGGCGGAACTCTACGACAGCCTTCACACTTCCATCAACAATTCGCGCCGAAGGGTTGGGCGCCTGTAACACCCCCTGCGACCTCTCCAATATTGCAGCAACCGATCCATCCGGTCTCTTGGTCTAGTCAGCAACAGCAAAACCAGCGTCCTCAGGTAAGTGATCGAAGCATAGGTGTCGAACTCGGATATATGCTTAGTACACACGTATACATGACTTGATCACCTTAAATTGTTCTGTTCTTCTATTATATCAACCCCTTGCACTCAAGAAGCCACTCAATGTCGTCAATTTGTTTTACATAGAAAAATTATAAAATTCCGTATTCGATATTAAATTTTAGGTAATGTAATCAAACATGAAATATTGAAATAAAATAGTTCTATCTCTTGATACGTGTATTATATCTATTTAACGCAATTGAAGGTTTAATCAATGTTTTATTTCTATTATTCTTCATTCTTGTATTATTTCTGTCTCATACCATCAAAACATTTAACTGCTATTTCATTAGGATATGATGAATATACGCAGTGGAAAAAATTTCGAGTGCGAAGGGTTAATGTCTGTTGAAATATTTCTTGTGTCGCGTGTGTATATCAAAATACATTTTAATCGTTGGAGATGATTCTATTGTAATTAAGATAATTAAGTAGCTCAGAATAGTGGTCTAACTCCTATGTCTGAGTTCTAAAGAAGACTTGTGAAATGTTCTTGGATTAATTAAATACTAGAAGAAGTTTCCGTTTCTTTAATTCACTTTCATTCAAATTTATTTACATCGTTTTATTATTATGCAAACGTAATGTGTGCATCATACATTTTTTGTACAAAAGTTACTTCATGATATTATACCAAACATGCATAACATTGTTTTTAAAGAGATAGATTTATTTTAAAAACATTTCGAACTATTACTGAAATCGACACCTATGCATAAACAGATTAATCTATAAATAATGTCATTTTACAGTTTATTGTTAATATATCTGATACGATCAAATCCAATCACAGTTTGATAAAAACATAATAAAAATATAAGGAAATATTTAACTCTGCAGAAAATTGATTTTGATTATCCATTTCTATTCTTGTCGAATGTTAAATCTAGAGCACTCAACAAATCGTTAATAAAAAAAAATGATTACTTAAGCTACGCCATTTTAAACTAATTCCTATGAAATTTGGCATCATTTTTGAAATATTAGTACCACTGTATGTGTAGTAAATATTATCCTTCAATAACGGAACTGATGCAATAGATGACATTAATTATGGTTTAATCTAAATGTTGAAAATTCAATTGACAGGTGGATCACTTCGACATGGAGATAACATAAGGAATGCATTTTCAAATTTTTTTCTGTGTTCCTCCCCCCTCTGTCCTGGAACGAGTGTGTAGTCAACGGCCATTTACTTTAAAAATTTCAAAATTTCTTTTCAAGATTCGGATACTACACGATAATCAGAAAATTCATTTAATAATATGATTGATTACAGCAACAACCACAAGCACTTCAACCGTCACAACAACAATCACAAAATCCAACCCCCGTTGCATTCGAAGCACCACCGTCTACAATCACACTTCGCCCGGAGCCTCCAATCTCGCAGGTTTGAATTAGATTAAATAAATTATTAAAATAGACATAAAAAGACTTTCAAAAGGTAAAAAGTAATAAAATATTTATCATGGAAGTGATAATAATGATAAAACAAATATTTGTATATTGATCTTCATTTCACTTCAATGGTAATTTTTAGGCACCAGCTCCAGTTTATCAAGCACAACCTGCCGCAACAAAGGCTCCAGTTAGTGGAAACATGAGAGGAGACCTGAAGTGGCCACCGCCATCTGCAAAAGCACAAATAGAAGCAGAAAACAGAGCCAGAATGGAATTGGCGAAAGGTCCTGCCGTCAGACCTCGCAGAGTGCACAAGGACTATAGCGGCTTCTTTGCTCAACATGCTCTAAACAGCACGTATCCTGGTTACAGAGCTCCTCCAGGCACTCAATATTTCACCCCTTCCTACCAGCATTAGCAAATCTTGCTTGAAGATTATTTACTTCCTTTAAAATGTCCTGAGGCTGACTTTTTGTAATGAATATTTAAATTTCTTTCATTAAAAGTTAAATGTACTTGAAAAGTTAATTAAAATGTCAATTGTAATAAGGAATAAAAATATTTATGTGGTAAGAACATAAAATTTGAAGGATATATATTTTCTATATTAGTGCCAATATTTAAAAATATTTAATGGCATTATATATAAACTTCAATAGTAATAAAAATAAAAAAAACAAGACGGACAAAACTATACAGGCATGTTGATGAAACATCGGAATATTTGACATAATTATTTTACTTACTTGTGATTTACAATATTTCATTTTTTTGTTTTGAAAATCTTTTTTACTTTTTTGTCTTCCTACTGCCAAATATATATTTCACTTATTACAATAATTAATAGTCCATTAATTAACTACATGTTAGAAATATAATTCATTTGCACTTTTTAAATTCAGTATACTATATCTAAAAAATTTTTAAATAATGTACAGCAACTGTTAAAAAGCAGGGTACACGTTTCAACTTAAATTACTATTGCAATTTCCATACATTGGCTATACGAAGAGTTTTCTCTTGTTAGATATCATATTCAATGCAAAATCACCCAGGACTGTTTTCGTTGGATTTCGAAATTTGTACATTGAAAAGAAAGAAGAGAACCAAACAAATAGCCGTCTAATAATATCTATATCTAAATATGTTTTAGTTAAGATTAGGACTTAGGACTGTACACGGATTACAGGGTAAATGTTCTTGCTCTTCCAGTTCTTCGTCCAAAATTAGCTTTATACTTTCACGAGATACATTTTTCAAGGTTCTTAAAACACTTTCTGTTCGAATTTCGAATTTCAACAATAACTTGTATATACTGAGACTGATCAAGTGATTGCTTTTTATTGAACGCTAATCAGTAATGTAACATTAAAAACTTTTATCATGCCCTTGTATTTATTTTAACAACAAACGCTTGTGAAAAAAAATAAATTATCTCGTGGAAGAATGATATAAAGTAGAAATACGAATTATAACGAAATATTACGATTGTACAAAAATTTTTGAACGAATAACGAAAATCGAATAAAAATTACGAAAAATTGTATCGAAATGAATTTTGTAAAACGATTCGACAACTACATGTCCATAAAATGACTAACAGAACATTTTTAATAATGTAACATATTGATGTGTATAAATAAACTATACTTACAAATTGGAAAGTCAGTTTCAAAAACTTTATTTCTCTGTACAGCATAATTTTGAATATAGATATTATATTATTTAATAAAATCCCTAGATCAGTGCCCAACACACTTAAAAAATCACATTTTTGCACTTGCTTAGTACCTGTCTATCAGTAAATAAGGAATTAAAATATCTTTAATCGCTTATTCAATAAATAAATGCTGGAAATCGACCATTAAACACTTCTTTACACAATTGTTTAAATAAACTTTTAAAATTTACATTCAGGGTAATGATAGTTCTTGTTTAAAATAACTTGTTAGTTATATTTTACAAATATCATCTTTGATTATAGTTTAGTTACTAACAATTTTCCCTGAGTTCATCTTATCTTCAAGGTTAAATGTATTACCGTGATAATATAAAAACTAAGTTATCAAAATTAATTATTAATAAATTTTCTATATAATTCGGAAAACATTGTATTTAAATAACCATGACGTGCATAATAATTTCTTTTTCAAACAGATTTTGTTACTTCAAATTAATATTTCCGTAAGAATATCGTAAGGTGTTCAATGCTACTATTTCAAACATTGTGCACATTATAGTTTCCTATTAAACAGTATAATAAATTAATTGAAACACAGGAAAATAGAATAGTACTAATATAAATCTGTTCTTTTTTCTAATGTGCATATACAACTTTTAAAAATTTTACACGCTTCAGTTTTTTGTTCACTTTGTATTATGCACGTGTGTTATAAACAAAATGTATCAAATAAGATATAAAGCGAAAGTTTTACACTAAAGAAAATCCATGGGTTTGTTGTATGGCTTGTAGTAATTTGTATCGTAGTCTTTCTCTAGTCTGATACCGTGGAAGATCAAGCAAATTAAAACACGTGTGAGCAATTGGCAATAAACGTTCATCGTTCAACGGTTGTATTGTGATCTGCAAGAAGCAAATAATTACTTCACAAGAAAGTAATAAAACGCATAATAAAAATATGCAATGTATAATTTGAATTATCTACCGTGATCGCTTTCATGCCCTGTATAGGTATTCTATCGCTTCCAGTTAAAAATAATAAAAATTTTTTCTTCTCCTCTAAAGACAATTCGCGAAACACTTGCCAAAACAGTACAATAGTAGGATCATTTTTCGTATAGCCTTCTTTATATGTAGTATTCTTTTCTAATTCTTCCCAATCATAATCCTCATTTCCTACTACTACGGCCTTTAGCTCATAGCTGTGAAATAATTCTAACACTCGACCACCGCAGACTTTATGAAATCCTTTGTAAAACTCTTTAAAATGGCGTTCCACTGATTTATTTAATATGTAATCTACATACAAGTCTACGAACTGTTTTCTATAAAAAATAAACAATATTATTAAAATTAAAACCAAAAAAAAGATAAAAGAAAGATATCAAAACATAAACATACTTATTTTTTAAAGTAACAGGAACGTTACTACCGTCTGGTATAAGTTCATATATTCTTTTTTCGCCGAATGCTTCTCTGACTACTTCGAAGTTCAAGCAAAAAACATCTTCAAAGTCCATCTCATCATAATCTAATATACTTTGCATGCTCCTAAAACAAAAGTTGCAGTATCATTACACACTCTAATATCTAATATTAGAAAGAAGAGCTTTTATCTTAAATGTAACATACTTAACAAGAACTGGGGACATCTCCTTTATATCGATCAGTGCGACTGGTTCGTGTAACAATTTTTTATATAAAACTAATGGAAACGGCAGATCGATAATAATAAAATTATAAATAACCAGTCCACAAAGAACGCCAATTAGAAAATACATGTTTTCATCTTCAAATGAATCTTCGCTGAACCAGATTACTCTAGTTTCATCGTACTGCTTGAACATTCCATATTTCGGATCTAAAATTTCTTTCAGTAAAAGCATAAAAAATTCTTTTCTAACTCCACCTTGGTCCTCTGCTTCCTCACCATGAAATTTTACCTATTTTTAATAATCTTGTTAGTTACCAGTTTCACATACAAGATACTTGAAGAGAAATCACTAGGCTATATGTCTTTATGCAAATGAAATATACACTTCTGTTTAATTCCATTCTTTGTAAATTTGACCAAGGAATATTCTTTTACATAAAAATTCATAATCTGACAATTATAATACTTACTCGAAGAGGTTTCTTTAGGTCACTGGAATCATAATGAGACAATTCAATCAATGTATCTTCAACTATTCTCTCACGTGAAACGTTTAACATTACAAATTGTATATGTTCACTAGTATTTATAGAAAATGGGTCGAAAAACATTTGATTCATTACTGCACGAGTCGCAGCTTCATTCATTGCTGATTGCATCTAATACACAATAATAAATTAAATTATTAGAGAAAATTCTAAAAGAAGTTAATTAATTCTATACCTGAATAGCTTGGTCTGTTTCGAGTAGTATGGTCTTGGCTTGAGCATCAAGAAGAAACGGATAGCGGCAAAAGACTTTCTGGGACTAAGAAAAATTTTAATAATTTAAGAGTAGTTGTCAATTATAACTGAACAAATTTAAATTGTATTGCATTAATGTAACATACAGAATAAGATCCCTTTTCTGATACCCATTTTACATAGTCGCTTCTAATATCTACAAAGTCTACTAGTTCTGGTAAATGAAACGTAGAGTAAGGTACTATGTTACCATCTTCACCTTCATTATTTAATTTATTCAATAAATGTAAAAGATCTAATATAAGTTGAAATGTATTGTCCCACAACACTCCCTAGAAGGAAGTTTAAATTATATAATATAGAATACGCGTTTTCAATTTTGTTAATCAATAATGTAAGATACCTTGTTTGGAGTAGATTGTTTCACGTAATGCAAAACGACTGATTTATGAATTCTCACCAATCTCTCAAAATAATGTGACGGTGCTTTGATCCACCATTGACATACAATTTCAAGAATCTCTGGTTTTAATGCTAAAACAGCTTTGCAAAATGGTTTATGCAATAGATTATAATTAAGGGGATTTACAAAACCGTGATACAAAGGTAATATTAAGCAGATTCTTAAAGACTCCGGACAATGTAGTCTGAGTGATGAATTAACAAAGGAAGGAATCAAGTTGTCTGATATGCAAGTAAATATCTGAAGAAAGAATAAATAATTCATTGTAAATTATATTTTCCCAAGTACTTAAATTTTAATAAAACTGAGTTTCTAATGATGTACCAGTTCTTGAATTGTGCTATTATCCAATTCTCTAATGATTCCAAATGATCTACTTGCTTCATTGAGATTCACACCATGTTGTTTAATAGAACATCCATAGTGATGATCATTATTAAGTGAGAACGATCCATTCACACAAGCTTGACTTTTAAATACTGTCTCCAAATATCTATAATTTCGACAGGACTTCTGATTGTTATTCAGATAATTCTAAACAAATATAGTACTCCAAATGTTTGAAGCAATCTTAGGTACTAACTTTTCTACTCACGTCATAAGTTCATGATCGACAGGCGAGCTTGGTGGTAAACGTTGACATGCCAACAATTGGTCCTCAGTTATTTCAAGAATTTTATAAGATGATTCTAATTTTCTGCAATCATCTGGTTGTATATTATCCTATAAATATTTAAATACATACTGAATTATACTACTACTAATCATTTTTATTTTGCCAATTAATATAAAAAGTGATTTAAGGAGGAATAGAACAAATTTTTGAAACTATAACTCGAAAAGTTTACACTATCCTATTACAAATCTCTAAAACCATATATTTACCTTTTTTGGAACTACTGTTACAAAACAATGATTGCTGCCAGTAAAAATATGTCTAACGATGTATTCAGTTTGAGAGGAATGCATTTCATTATCTGAATCCATCATCGCAGAAGCTTTGGATGTGACCCATGGACCTTGCACCACTTGAGGTGTAGCTAATTGTCCTGTCACACCTAATCCCCATGCATAAACTTTACTTTGTGACGATACTAATGCCAATGTGTGTTCTTTTCCACATAAAATCTTTAACATAAAACATTTGCGTATGAAGTAATTAAAACTTATTTTCCTAAGTATTAGTAAATACCTGTGTGACTGTACTACCCATAAGCTCCATAATTTGTCGTGGTAAAATTTCATTTGAATTATTTCCATGTCCCAATTGACCACACATTCCTGCACCACAAGTGAATACTCCGCCATCCTAAGATACATTTGTACAAACGATCTCTTCAGATTATCTCATACTTCTTCCTTATTCTCAAGTGCAACCTTTTTAATATTAACACTTACAACTGTTAAAAATACAGAGAATTCTTCCCCACAGGCTGCATAACACACTTTTGTATTCTGTAGTGTTTTTAATCGACATGGAACATTTCTGTTTTGAGTGTCATTTAGGCCCAACTGACCAAATGAATTTTTACCCCATGCAAATACACTTCCTATAAAAAAATTTAAGTATTATTAGTAACTTATCACAATTATTCATAACTATATCTATTAAATTACCTGATTTTGATATAGCTATGCTGTGATATCCTCCACAAGCGATATGAACAATAGGAATGCCTTCTAGACTGTTAACAAGTTTAGGCTTCAATTCGTTTTTAACATCTGCATCTAATCCAAGTTGACCTTCTTTATTGCAACCCCAACTATACAATTCACCATTATTTGTTAATGCAATGGTGTGCTTCATACCGCAAGCTACTTGTACAATTACGCTTGTACCTAATGCTTTTACTATACGTGGTGTACATTCCATAATAGTTTCAGAATTTAAACCTGAGATTAAATTGATTGAAGTACAGTATTACAAATATTTGAACATTTTTTTAAAGAAATGTATACTGATTTCAGTAATACCTAATTGACCTTTTACATTAGAGCCCCAACTGAATAACTGGCCCCATTCATTTATTGCTAATGTGTGATGTGCTCCACAAGCTACTTTTTTAAATGCAAATGCATCTAAACCAGGGGCATCTATCAGCTCTAAATATAAAAGAAGTTTTTACTAAAGAATGAAATTACTTAAGAGATCATACTATTTAAAATATTTATTGTACTTACGTAATTTTCTTGTCTCCTTGTTATGACCGAGTTGGCCATAATCATTATTTCCACATGAATATATTTGACCATCTTTAGTAACAACTACTGTGTAATTCTCACCACATGCAACTATACGAGATTTATATTAAGATGTAGTAATTCTATAAGCACAATGAAATACATTTTATTTCATGACTAAATTCTTACTTTGCTCAACTTCTCCAGCTTTTACAAAATCAACTTCATGAGGAAGTAAAATGATTTCATCTTCTGTACCATCCAAACCCAATTCCCCATGTATATTACACCCCCAACAATACATTGTTTTGTTCAATTTCTTTACAGAATTTTCTACTGCTATAACAGGCTCAGAAGCCAAACGTCGTTTCTTTGTCCAGGTTTCCTATTCAAATAGCAATATAAAAATAAAATAATTGTTATCTTGTGTTTATAATCATATTATCATGCTACAATGTATTTATTGCAATGCATTGTGTACATTGATTAAATATATTATTTAATCGTATAATGTATTTTCATGTTAACTCGTTAAGCCATATACCATGTACATAAAATTCTTTTTAATGTAACTTTTGAATGGTTGTGGATTTTATGAAAGGATATAATGGAAATTACAATATCTTCTAAAATTTGTTTCACTACTTTTCCTATCATATGATAGTATATAAGTAATTTTAAACCTATATTGAAACCTACAAGTCAAATGTTATATATGAAGTTATAAGTGATATTAAATATAATTGTTAAAATCAATAAATTGGTAAAATATATCATAATGATCACTCATTTAATTTAGATAATCAGTTTATTTCAAAGTTATATTACTTTTATAATATGCATTTTTCATTTGATATGAATATGGTATACATAAATTTATTTATTATAATAAATATAGTTTATTATATAACATTGTTATAATATATAATTTATTATAAATTATTATAAATATTATAAATATAATATTATTGTAATAAATAAATTTGTTACTTTATTTTTATCTTTACATTCTTAATTTTATATTCTTGTTTTGTAACAATTTTTAGCGATATGAACAAGTGGAGTACAACTTGTTACAAAATGAAACATAAAATAAATATTTACCCTTTGCATGGCTTAGAGTATGGAGTACCATAAAATAATATCAAATTATGTTATCAAATGCATATTGTAAATTATTCCAAATGATCTGAATCTTTACTAATAATAATTTTATTTTATTCTATTGAAAAATAACTAAAATAAATAAAGGAAAGAATATTGTTAGAATGAGATAGATAATATTAGTAATGACTGTATTATTTGAATTATTAATTCAAGCCATAAATAACTTCTGTTACAATAGATACACAATCCACCTTAAAGATTAAATACCAGTAAATAATGTTTCATTAATGATTGTGAATATTTAACTTATTCTACCAAAATAACAACCTAAAGTGCAGTACCTTACTTAAAGTGAATCATTCTTAAGCTTTATGATAATAAAATAATTAAAATGATATAATGTAAATCAAAAACATTTAAAAATGTTTTAATGTTAATAACTGAGAAGTTTTACTTTTAGTAACTGATAAAAGACAGTGGAAGTACCAAAAAAGATGGATTAGTGAAAAAAACAGATTAAAAATAAAAAATATAAATGGTATCTTATTTTAAAATAGCCATGCAAATATCTTTTTTATCAACATTACACTAAACAATGTGTGATCTTGATAGAAATAAATTTCACGTTTAACTTTAAATTTGAGAGTCAAAGGTTATTGCAAGGTCATTTTATTATACATTTTCAAACTCATTCTAATATAAGTTACAATGTTATCTAATATAACATACAAAATAAATTATGCCTTTATATGAAACATTGATGATCTCATAAATGGGAAAAATATTATTTTAAAACAAAAATATTCTTTCATGTATATTCATCCTTTGATTCTATACAAGGGTAATGGGTAAAAGGCTTAGGGATTGAAAACAGTTATGATATCGGTTTCGGTTTTTGAAATAAGTCATGATGAATCAGTTATGATGAACCAAAATAAGTCATAACTGTGTGCATCTGTTTAAGTTCCGGATCTTCAGAACTGATATACCAAATAACAGTTATGATTTATTTTAGTTCTTCATAACCGTTTCAATTGGATCCAATATATAAAAGTTTCAAACATTAATTTTTGGAATCTTTGCAATCGCTGAAAACTTTCTGCATCATTATAATTGAGAGAGACATTTAAGAGCCTTATTTTAAATGACACATATTACATATGTATACCAAATATAATTTAACAAAAGACAAGAAGGAAAGAAAGATGCCACTACAAAAAATAATCAAAAAGAAAAACAGTAAGAGAGACAAATTAAAGGTATAATACTAAAGAGTAATCTACATCAAGAAGCAGATGTAAATGATATAAAATATAAGATTTCCATTCGAAGATGGAAAGAATTAGAATTTTGAAGTTTTCTCGTAAACCTTCTTCCTTCTAGTTTAATATAGTTAATAGTTTTGAAAAATTCTGATTTTCAAAAGATATAAATTAAATATTGTATTGCCTTAAAAACAAAAGTAAAAGAATATTAAGTCAATCGATTGATGTGATTTATATTACTTTCAATTTACATAAATTTAAAGAAAACAGGAATTATTTATGACTAAAATGAATACATAACATTAACACTTAATTAGAATTATTTATACCCATGCTATAGCTCCTATGTCTAGTCTGTTATATATTAGTAATGTAACAGAATTAAATCAATTTCATGGTATGATCCAAGCTTAGTTTTATACATTTCAAAGTTATACATACTTTTCCGATAATCTATAGCAAAGTAATGGGTATTTGTAATAATTTGTGAATGAATGTGTCAGTAACTAACCATATTTTTTCTGTCTCTCTAACTGAAAGCATCAGAGATGTGGATGAGACATACTATTTATGAAAAACATGTGGAAT